CTGGATATCTTCGAGACCGCCTCCTGCCGCAGATTACCTCCCATCGGCCTGTACGCTCCCACAGAGTGGGTCTCCTCAGGGTGCCGTCAGCCAGACAGTGCCGGCTGGCGACCCCAAGGGGGAGGGCCTTCTCGGTGGGAGCTCCCACCCTCTGGAATGAACTACCCCCAGAGATCAGGGTGATCCCTGATCTCCCTTCATTCCGCCGCGCCCTTAAGACATGGTTATTTCAGCTTGCGGGACTGGCCTAGGGGAAATTTTTAGCGGGGGTTTTAAAATAATTTTAAATTACTTAGGCCAATTGTTAATATTTGTCTTTTAATTACGTTTTAACTGTAGTATTTGGTATTTTGTAGTTGTTTTATCTGGTTGTTAGCCGCCCTGAGTCCACAAGGAGAAGGGCGGGATATAAATATAATAAACATAAACATAAACAACAACATCCTCAATTTTCATCAGCATGAACTGTGAAAGAAAATCAAAACCCAGCACATCACAGAAGTAAGATGACAACACTGTGCCCCACTGCTGTAATGTTATATGTGAATCAATGCATTTATTAACCAGCTTTGAATTTATAAAAATTGATGATCTCATCCAAAATAATCTTCATGTACAATCCCTTCAATCAGCTGCATAGAAAACCAACAGATATTCAATGTTACTACCACAAACTATTCCTCATTAATATCAGTTGACATTTCAACGGATAATGCTTTGCTTTCTTATCATTCTTGTATCAAAATAGCATAACGAGGAAAAGTATTATATCACCCTAAGTTATTAGGTAGGAAGTAGCCTAAGATGCTTGTATACCTTTGAACTTAAATAGAAGGGAATGTCTAAATGGCTGTCACTATTACCTTCTTTATCTAAGGTTATTCTGCTCTCTGTTATGGAAAGTGAGTCCTGCAGTGAAAATATTGACAATGGTTGAACAATAGAACTTTCAATGAGATACTGGCCAGACTGGCAGGAATTATATGACTTGTAGACCAAGACATCTGGACAACTTTTGGTTGAAGAAAGCTGCTGTGAAAGCTGCTATTGCTTTTTAATTTCTATAAGGATTAAATTATAGAAGAAATACAAAAAGCAGTAGTTTACTCACCTCCATGGAACATTGCCCTGTTACAAAGCTCTGTCCAATCACCACCACATCCTAAGAGAGCATCATATGCAATCATGGGAGCATCATGACCTCTCCTTCCACCACGACCTTCAGAACTCCATCTCCGGTAAGTCTAAATGGATAATTAACAACTTGACGAAATGCAAACCAGAACATGCATATATAAATCTCGCAGTTTGCATGTTTTAAATATATAGATTGATAAAGAAACATTAAATTACAGTTTATGTTTTCAAGTTTCTTGATTTATTTGCTTTTAATGCTTTGAGTAATATCTACCCATTGATCACTGGTTCACTATACACCAACAATCACTACTTTTTTATCACTTGTTATTGTTTTTATTGCTATTTCTCTTACAAATGACCAACTTAAACTTTATTCTGTAAAATCTGTCTTTTTGAGACACAACCTCTGTCATTTGGTTTCATAATTACAGCATAACATTCATTTTTAGTAAGAAAAGTATCATTTTATATCTATTCCTCCCCTCCCTAGACACACAGAGTTTAAACAGCTGTTTCTTGAAGAACTTACTTTTTCTCTTTCTTCAGCATCATAATTGTCAGGAAAATGAGGTTTATTCTGGTTTTCTTCATTGATCTCTCTCTCCTCCAAATAAAATTGCCATTTTGCTTCAAAGTAAAACCAGTGTTCTTGATATTCTGAATGGAAAATAAATGTGCAATTATAATATATGTAATCTTGAAAAATTATTCCAGTCAAGACTAGTCATATAATGCTGTTATAATACTGTTTGTCATTAATACCAACCAATATATTGTACAGTAGAGAATTGGTTTGGAAGACTTTTATTTCCATAAAGACAGAGAATTAGAATCAGCTAACACAAAATAGAGACCCCATTTAGTGTTGTGGTTAAGGCATCAGACTAGAAACAGGAGACTGTGAGTTCTAGATCCACTTTTGCCACAAAGCCAACTGCATAACCTTAGGTTAGTCACTTATTTCAACTCTAGGAAGGATGAATAACAAACCACTTCTGAAAAACCGTTTCCAAGAAAACTGCAGGAGCTTGTCCAGGCAGTCTCTGAGAATCAGACATGATTGAACTGAAGAAAATAAACACAAAATATGAAATAAGCAGGGTAGATCTGTCCAAGTCCTTCTGCACTTTGAGTTTATGTGTGAATTTAGACTTCAGCCTGGAGATCTTTTAAGATGTTTTCTTACTGCTTAATGCATTTATGGAAGCCAAGTTTTGTTAGCAATCTGGCTGTAATAGAATTTATATTAGTTTCATTTTTAGGCCATTTTCAAGGGCTTTCTTTAACGCAATATGCTATAGTAACATAGCCAACTAAATAACTAAATATAGTAACATAGTCATAAAGGTAACTAAAGCCCAATCAGCTTTTGATACACAACCTGAAGCCTGTAATATTTTTTGTTAATATATTGAGTATCACATTTAAGCTGTATACTTGAATATTATGCAAGTGTTGTATGAATCTGGGTGAAAGATACAAAAAATTTTTTAGGGTAATTCATCTTTGACTTTTTTTTTCTCTTAAGAAATAATTTTTGGGGAGACAAAAGGGCACGCTCACTGTTATTCTTAAAATGTACCCTGCTATTCTGTCTTAAATGTATTTCCTGACACCATGATATTGGGTTAGAAAAACTTCTAAACATATTTTATGCTAGAGCTCTTTCTGTATAGGAAATTATCTTTGATTTCAGGAGGAAAAGTAATTTGTGAAGTAGCTGCGGTGTAAGCTATCTAAATTGTATTTATTTTCTTCATTATATTTAGCTTAGTGCTGCCACGTACCATTTAGAGCTGTTGAGTAGGAAAGAAAGAAAGAAACTTTTATCATTGTTTAGCCAGCCAAATATCTTGAAAAACAGGATTCTGTTGTGATTCAAGCAGGGATCTATTTTTTCAACCTCTCTCCCTGCTTTCTAAAATAGCACTGTTTTCCACAATGACGGGGTTACAAGCACATGCTTCAAAAGGTTTGCGTGTTTAGCTTAGAGATGACATTGCCCTGAGCAAATGCCAGCCTCTTCCTGTGAGAGACAGACCTATAAGTGTTAATCCTGCACCTGCTCTACTCTTAAGAAACAACAACAGTTTGAATAAAAGTGGAAGAACTTCCATTAGAAAAATGAAGGGGCTATTAAAAGCACATTGCTTATGCATATGCATCACTGGTCTAATATGTGTTGTTATTTTAAAATTAATATTTCATTACATTTCTCACCCAACTTCTTATCTCACAATATCATTTAAATTTAAATTCAAACTGAAAATGGCAAGTGAAATTAATTACTAGAAAGGGTAGCAATAGCAATAGTAATAGCAGTTAGATTTATATACTGCTTCATAATGCTTTATAGTCCACTCTAAGCAGTTTACAGAGTCAGCATATTGTCCCCAACAATCTGGGTCCTCATTTACCAACCTTGGAAGGATGGAAGGCTGAATCAAACTTGGGCCGGTGAGCATCGAACCCCTGGCAGTTGGCACAATTAGCCTGCAATACTTCATTCTAACCACTGCGCCACCTTGGGTAACTAAACAAAGTTACTGAGAAGTTTAAAAAATGATTTCTTTTTTACCTTTTATGAATTTGAAATGCCCAATTAATCAGTTTTACCTGCCATGTGCCTGATGGTCTTTTTGCAATATTCTTCGGCCATTGGAACGACTTTCATCATCTCTCTTCCCCATTGGACCAGTGGCTTTCCTTGGATTGCATATGAAACAAACAGAGCTGCACAGAGGGATCCTAGGAAGCCTGAAATTAGCATATAAAGATAAATGTGTGTATGGTTAAAAAAAAAAGCTAATACTTTAAAAAAAAGAGTTTGTGGACAGAACCATATTTATGTGTGCATAAGAAAATAAATGCTTTAGGAGGAGTCATTGTGTGAGACTGAAGCAGCTATTTAAGTCAGTTAAAATTTCGTCTGCTTTATTTTATGGATCAGACATACAACATAGTTTCAACACCTTTTTGCAAAATTGAAGAAGCAATCATGAGATAAGTTATCTGAATCCAAATAATGCTTCATTTACTTAATATTTAGGAATTGTTGCTTTATAAAGCTCCTGGACTTTTAATGATCCACTTTGAAATGCTAACAACCTCTGTCTTTTTATATACAGATATTTCTTCTAACCAGCAACCCAATAACAGTTCTTTAAAGAACAAAATAAAAGATTATGCTATATTTAACAATGTTTAGTCTGACCACGTGGGGCTACTTAAATTTTTAAAATGCTTTATAAACATCCCAAATGGGCAAAGTATAATGCTAATGATAGCATAATAAAAACATGTGCTGTGAGGCTTAATTCATCCAACTTCAAGCTCTATATTTCCTTAAACTTTTTTAAGAAAGAAAAATTAATTTAAAACTGGCCCTGTGTTAAAGATGTTCATAATGCCTTTTGTACCACTGCCAGCACATAATCATAACTTTGGAACATTTCAGAGAATAGCTATGACCTGCTACTTGTATCTGCCTTTAGAAGGTAGCTGGCTGGTATGTTTTCCTAGTAACATTCCAGGATGGTGAGTTATTTTATTTCTATATGCAGTTCTGATCTCAATGATTATGACATGAGAATGGGATGCAGAAGTTCAAAATAAACTTTTAATGATTCTCAGCACGACTTAAAAGATGAATTAATATCCTGTTGCATGTCACTGCTTGGAGAGGAGACTGATTTGAATTTAGTTTACAGTTATTGTTCTCTTCATTGGGGGCAATAATTGATTAATTCACTTACTGATTTCGCACATTTTTATGGCAACTGCTCTTGTACGGAATGCGCATATTGGTTTCTAGAAAACATGATAGATCTATTTTAAGTGCATTTCTGAGATACATTAGTGTTGATTTTCTTCTGACATTTAGTAGGAAGTCAGAGAAGAAGAAAGTTTGCCATTAATATGCATGCTCAGATTATAGTGTGTCACTGTTTATGCATCTTTCCCTAACCAGGATTTTTACAGATGTGTTAAATTCCCTAGTAAACATACTTGTAGGTTTACTATTGGTTCCTGCTTCTCCTGCTGCCCATCCACCCTACTTACTTTAGTTCAGGGCTAGGCAACCTTGCCTCTTTTATGACTTGTGGACTTCAACTCCCAGAATTCCTCAGCCAGCTTTGCTGGCTGAGGAATTCTGGAAGTTGAAGTCCACAAGTCATAAAAGAGCCAAGGTTGCCTACCCCTGCTTTAGTTCCTTTTGACCAATTGCCCCATTGACTCTATACCTCTTTAGGTTATACCTATGATCCCCATCTTTTCTTTTCATAGCTCCTCCCCATTCCTCCCTGAACTACAGCTGGGAAAACATATGTTAATTCAGAATGTGAACCTGTCATATTGCAATCAAATCACACTTTGGAATCCTTGGCCCTAGGATTCCACTTGGAACATAAAATATAGCTTCTAAATCTAGGCACATGTATTTGGAAGTGAGTCCTTACAACAGATGGAACTTCTTAATGACTAAATAAAATAGGGTTACTGGCAAACATTTGTGCCTGCCTGCCTTAACATATCTAACCTTTTACATTTTTGTTTTTAATATTAGAATCAGCTCTTCCAGAAAATATCAAGCATCTTTCTTGAAAATTCTTCCTATAATTATTTTCTTCTCATATTTGTGTGTGCATGTGTAAGTATCTGTTAGCTTGCAAGAAACTCTAGACAAGAAACACAGCCAGGAGTACTAGCTCTATCTTTATTCTAATGGGTAGGGACAGATAAATATTCCTTTCCACCCCCCAATTCCCCCCCCCCCACTTCAGTGTTTGTCTTATTATGATTAGTTCAGTTCTAACCTTAAGGGAGCTAGTATATTAGAACATATGTTCAGTATACTAGAACATATGCCTTTAATTATACAGATATCAAATAAAACCTATGGTACCCAGGAGCCAGGATATGTATTACTACACTCAGTCATTTGCTAATGACAGGGTTTTATATAGGATGACCAAGCACATTCTCCTGGATATTACCTGTAGGATGATTATGAGTCATTCGTCCAACTTCAATGCTCACTTCAATGAGAGTTTCCAGCCTTTCGGGCTTCCAGTATTTCATCCCTAAACACATGGCTTTTGTAGCTGCACCAAACCCTGAGCCTACATGATAAACAACAATATGTACATTAATAAAGTACATTCCACTGTTTTAAAATGGTTGCACGAACAATTTAATTAAATACAAAGAAATCCATAGAAATAGTATAGTATAAATACTATAGCATATAAATGTAATAAATAATAATAATTCACCATCAGTCAATTGCAAAAGGCAGTTTTAGTTGAAACAGCATATATCTTGCAACAATACCTTTAACACCATCAAACAACAAGATCTGTTTATCTCATGTCCTTGGGAAGGAGGCTATAGGTGGATAAGAATGCCAAATCCAATTTAAACATCTAGCTGACCCTGTGACGAACCATAATAATACAGACTTTAAAAAACCAAGATAAACCAGGAACAAGTTTTTAGAGAAATTAATAATTTGGAATGCACACAACACATACATAAGAGTTTTGAAGTGAAATTTGGATATTTTCTTGTTTATTGGATTTGATAAAGCTTTACACACTCCCTCCTCTCCTCCCCAACCCCCTCCCACACAAATTTTCTACATGAAATTACATTTCAACAGATGAGGGTAATATATTAGAAAAATCACAATAAGGCTGAATTTGTCCCTCGTGAAAAAGATTTTTGACAAGTTTGGGTGTGTGTGGGTGTGGTTGTGTAAAACTTATGCCTGGGATTAAGGGGTCTGTGGAACCTCTGATGACTCTTGGAGTGTTGTATTAATTTTTCACGCCAAGTAATTTCTCCTTACTTCTAAATACTATTGATCAAACAAAGGTGCATTTTAGTTCTGTAATGTTTAGTAACAACAAAGTTTTGACCATTAATTGAGTGTATTTCTATACAGGTAGTACTTGGCATACAGTTCATTTAGTGACCGTTCAAAGTTACAACAACACTGAAAAAAATGATTTACGACCGTTTTTCACACAACCGTTGCAGCATCCTCATGGTCACGTGATCAAAATTCAGGAGCTTGGCAACTGACTCATATTTATGACAGGTGCAGTATTCTGGGATCATGTGATTACCTTTAACAACTACAGTGATTCATTTAACAACTGTGACAAACAAGGTTGTAAAATGGGGCAAAATTCACTTAACAAATGTCTCTCTTAGCAACAGAAATGTTGGGCTTAATTGTGGTTGTAAGTTGAGGAATACCTTTATCTCTTTGCAACCTAGACACCCTGCCTTTATTATATATATTAATCCCAAGGTTTTGATTTCTGGGCCTCTTCCTTCACCTTTTCAAGTGATCAACAGTGCATGATTTGTTTCTTAGCCTTGAGCATTTCTGGTGCCTATCGCTTATTTACAAAATGTCTTTCTCTATCACAGGAATCAAAAACTCCAGCTTCATCAGCTCCAAGCCCAGACACTTAATACCGTAAATCACTGCACTATATTAAATGATATTAGGAATATTTTATATTCAGTCTTATTGTTCAATGACTAATTGGGAATTTTCCAAGTTACATAAAGTGGAAAAAAATAGCATGTTCCCATTAGGAGGTGTTTTTCACTCATGGTTTATAGTAATGGTATTACTGACACCTTCTCAAGTGTCCTCTCAGAATGATAGAGTAGTATGAGACAGATGTCTCTACGTCACGACAATTTACTACCTTCCAGTTGGCTGAACCACAAAATGGATTAGATAGAGACACAGAGCATCAGTGGTAAACTATAGCCTAATACTGGCCCAGTTTTATTTTATTTTATTTTTTTCTTCTGAAGAGTGAGTAGGGGCAGCTGTTTTGACATCAGTGCTGTACTGCACAGGGACAAAAATAATTGCCACAGTATGTTGCAATGTTTATGCCATGACACTGCCTTAGATGATGATGTTCCAATTGAGTGCCCTTATATCCCAATGAAACAGTGTCATATTAACCCACTGCTGGATCTGGAATCTGCATCATCCAGTGGAAGCTGAGCTTTTACCGATAAAATATGGCCCCTTAAATTTGCCAGCATTCAGAACATAGAACAGGTTCTGCAGTTTGCCTATGTGGTAGTTAGGTTTGTGCAATTTACACCAGGAGGGAAAGAAAGTGAAGTCACTGGAGAAATCAAACCGGCAGTTGAAGTTTTGTCTTTAGCCCTACACTCAGAGGCATCATATATATATATAGCAAAATGTCTAATAAATGCACAGCTCCAGATGAAACATGACCGATTGCTGGAAATGAATACAAATACAAAATTCGAGGACATAAATCTGGGATCAGAAAGCATCATGCCAAGAACAAAGACTCTAGAAATAGATATTGAGCTATTTGTAAGCCGAGATAATTTACAAAAGGACACTCAGCTGAGCCCAAGGAATTCTTGGCATCTGACTATGCTTCTCCAGGCACATATAGAATTGCTGATCAGGGATACAACAGACCATCATTTAGGTTTCTTTTGTGTTTCATAAAAATGTTTTATTGGTTGATCCTGTAAAAATATATGTGATGTTTTTTCTCTTTTTACAATAACAAGGAAGAAAACTGTATGCTCTCCCATTTGTCAGAGGAGAACATACAGGTTTCCTCCTTGTTATTGTAAAAAGAGAAAAAATATCACATATATTTTTACAGGATCAACCAATAAAACATTTTTATGAAACACAAAAGAAACCTAAATGATTTAGCTCTTTATGTATACCAAATGAAACAGGCTGTAAATTTGAGTGGTCCAACAAGAAGTAAATTCTTTGACAATGGTATAGCCATTCCTAATCTGATATCCTCCAGAAATATGGGCGTTACAGTGTTATGTGTATCTTTGGATGGCACCATTTTGGTGAGCTTACTTTAGTAGTTTTCTGGGCTATAATACATGGACAACTGTGTAATCTGCAATGATTTCTCACTGGTTAATTGAGATAGCAGCTAAGTGCCAAGCATTTAGTATTTTAAAATGCACACACCAAACAAAAGCAATCCTGTTTATATTTACCTAAAGTTGGTTCAATATTGTGTATGGGGGTGCATGTATCTCTGTATGTATATAAATATCAATGTCTTCTGTGCAATCTACCAGCAGCTGAATACGGTACATTAAAGTGCAGCCAAAATAGCAATAGCAGTAGCAATAGCACTTAGACCTATATACTGCTACATAGTGCTTTACAGCACTCTCTAAGCGGCTTACAAATGTCATCATGTTGCCCCCAACAATCTGGGTCTTCATTTTACCGACCTCAGAAGGATAGAAGGCTGAGTCAACCGTGAGCCGGTCAGGATGGAACTCCTGGCTGTGGAGAGTGAGCCTGCAATACTGTATTCTAGCCTCCATGCTACAACACTCCTAATATATTCAAAATGATTGTATAAAAAGTTGTAGTTTATTAAGTTAATACTTAAGAAATATTAGCCTAGATCTTAGATCTTGTCTAAGATTCCTTGCCACTTTCTGTAATACTTCAGGCTACTTTGAAACAGGGCAGGGACTCCACATCCAACACTTCAAACTTTATGCAGTCCTTGAGACCTTTAAGTACAGTTCCCAGAATATTTACAATACCTCCTTCTCAACTGTGGTTTTTAATAGGTCAGACAAAAGAAAAGTATTAAATAAATGGGTAGGCGTTTCTTTTAATTCAGGTTAGTTTATAATGAATTTAGATTCAACACAATAATTGTACATTTGTTTTGTCCTAGAACTTTGGGATGCCAAAAGAATGTGGCCTTTGATCCAGCAATGGTCTGCATCTTTTTTTCCTGAAATGACAAGAGTGTAATATGGCTTTTGTTAAAATAATGAAAAAAAATGTTCAGCCTACCTTTCTCATTGAAGGGTGTATGCCAAGCAAGGAGATAATTATCTGGCTTCAGTTGGGAGCATCCTTCAATAGTAGCAGGATCTGACCTTCTCTCAGAAAGTTTTTCAACTGCATCAACATAACGTTTAACAATATCGCGATACAGGTCTTCTAAGCACCAATAATCTATGCAGGCAAAAAATAAGATAAATGTGTATATAGCAGGAAATATTAAAAAGAGAAGGAAGAACATGAATGATGCCTGAACAGGGCAATTATTTCATTGTCACTGTCATTTAACATGTTACATCATAACAGTCTTGGCATACATGAATGGCAATGATAAATAGGGCAACTATGCATGGTTATCAACA